CCTTTTAGGTTTCTTCTCATTTCCTTAATTCTCAGTTATGTGAACACATCATCCTTATTTTAACTACCTCATTGTATCATTAATTATGTTTGGATCGTGACAGAATAAAAGATACTTAACAAAGGCACAGCGTCTTCGTAGTGCTTCTCTGTGTATTCCCACACCCACACAGGTTCTTACGCCTTCTTACAGTTTACCACACTTTCACCCATGTGATGCCCTTAAAAGTAGGGTGAAGGGTTACAGTTCATGTGAAACAGCATTACTGCTAGCAGCTCACACAAACACACAGAATCCATGAGAGTGTTCAAAACACATTCCTGTATACGAAGACTGAGTTGTATCTCCCAACCGAAGTAGCTAGAGGTGTCACCAGTGGTCCTCTATGCCACTTCACTGATCCCCAGCTCCTGATGAAGGAGGTACATGACAGGCACCAGAGATATTAGGGGGAAGAAAGAGCCCTTCTCATCTATTTTGTTCTAAGGGTTTACACACAGAAAGGATTTGGATCCAGGCAAATAAAATTTTATCCACCTATCTGCCTATCATTCCATCTATCACCCCACATGTGTATTAAATATGTAGGATAAAAATGCCTGAATATGGGTTCAGTGGTCCAGGAAATGGCAAGGATGTATCAATAGGATGTCAGATAGAGGAGGCATAGATGGTCCTGCTATGTTGCAGTGGGAACAGGTAAGACAGGGCAGAGCTTGGTGCATCAGAGCTAGAGCCAACTCCTGAGAAAGTGACCAGGATCCCTATCCCTATGAGAGGCTGAAGATTCAACAAGATGCCTCCCCTGGTTAGAAGGATAAAACTGGAACCAAGTGACAAAGGGCTTTAAAAGCCTATTTAAAGGATAACGCAGTAATATTCATTTAGGAACATCACTAAATTTTTGTCAAATTATATGCATGAGAAAAAGTCAGAAATGCTAAATTGTTAAAACCTTGCTGTTATGCCTCTTAATGTCTGGAAGAGTATTTAGGTATAGAACATTCACAGAAATAATAGTTTTACCAGAACCCAATCATGAACACACTTAGAGTCCAGAAGGTACAAAATATTTCTTTACTGTCTACATTACACAGGCTGGTGTGTACCCAGAAGCCCCAACTGTCTTCCTTATTCCTTCTCAGCCTTCCCCCTCACATCCCACTTATTCCATCCTGCCTCTGCCAGGTGATCTGTCACTCTTGTGTCTTTTATGGTCAAGGTCATTTGAGGTCGACTTTTTGTTCCATTTTCTAGTGCAATAATAAATTCTCAAATTATTCAGAAAAGAGCACCAACCCAAAAAACAAAGCTCTCTCCTGATGACTGGTAACAGCTCTAACCCATTTTAAGGCTAAAAGACCCCTCCTAAATGATGAGGTGTAAATAAAAATAGAGAAGCCTGCTCTGCCAATTATAGAAACTTAAGTGGTAATGACTAGATCAAGGTATTTCTACAATTTTTAAAATATAGACATCCTATGAGCAAAGCAGGTTCACCGTTCACTGGTTACCACTTCAGCCCACTGCTGCATCTTGGCCTGCACTTTTACTACTTGCTGGAGTCCAGTGAGATGGAACACTCACACATACATTACATGAAATTGGTTTATTATTTACAGATTGGCAGCAAGAGACAACAGAAACTGAGCATTCATGACAAGCTGGTCCTCCAAGGCTCAAGAAAGTTGCTGGGGGCAGATGGAATCTCATCTGCATGTGCCCTAATTGCAATAGAGCTAATGGACCCCAAAAAGCAGCTCACCCTTGGTTTTTACCCCAGGGGTGATGTGAGTTACTGGGATAAAGCATTACAGGACATCCCGATTCTAGGGGATACTGAAACAGAGTCTGGTACTGAAACATAAGTCCCTCCTTATCTCAGGATGTTGCATTCCCAGAACATTCTACAGTTATTCTTGAGAACTCTAGGTGAGGAAGGAGGGGGAACTGGGTTACCAAGGATACCTGGAGAACTGTCCTGCACAATGTATATATTATCCTGAGGGTAGAAGAGCACAATTATGTCCAACGTGTCAAGGGTAGTCAATTATTAAGACTCCATTCCATGCTCTGGCCCATATTGTGTCTTCTTTGTAAGGAAGAAAGCACACAAATTGTTACTATATTAAAGCCACAAGGAAGAGGCAGTGTTGGCATGGACGACGGAAGCAACCAGAAATGCTAGAGAAGGAAGAGGGTTTTGGAA